GACACAGATATTAATACTAATATAATCAAATTTCTTATTATTCATCAACAAAATCAATATGAGAAATTTTTAAATGTTATTATAAACGATTATTTACTTTAAGATCATTTTCAGAAAATTGAATAGAAACTTATTACGCTCATATTCAATCCGATTGTTTTCTCTATAGATACGACATATAAAAACTCTTTGTATTGTGATCTAAAATTTTACACATATAGCGAACTCAACTAACCGTAAGTAAACTTCTATTTAGAATAAAGTCTTTTCCAGACTTGCCAAAAAATCTGACTTCTCTAGAGAAATATTATTGAAATCGGAAGAAGTTCTCTCTCATTAGTATAAAATATCAAATTTCTTTTGATTAATAATAAACATACATTGTTCGTTCACTAGATTCATTTTGTGTTTTAATTTCTGATTTAATAATATTGATCATTGAATTAGAAGATGGATTAACTGAAAAAAAAAAAAAAGAAAATATTCAAAATCTAGATTTTAATAAACATACTTGTCATCATTGATGCATTTGAAGCTGCTGCAGCAGATGCTAAATATAAATTAAAAAAATAAAAATATTTTTTTTTTTTTTTATAAACAATCTTAAACAAAAAAGAAAAAGAAAAATAAACCTTTTCGTTTTAATGCAAGTTGTTCTCTTATTTGTGCTAATGTTCGTGTTTGTTGTTGTATAATTTGTGGTGGTTTAATAGGTAATATTTCATTATTATTATCTTCAGTTGTTTGCATTTCATAAGTTGGTGATACAATTCTTTTTATTGTTTGATTATTTTCAATAAATTTTTGTTGTAAACGTTTTCCTTTTGACATTTGCCAATCATCATCTATATCATCAAGTTGATCATCAATTGGAACTGATGGTGGAGGTGTTGGTTTAGAATAATTATAATTTGTTTTATCTCCTGTACTTGTATTTTTAACTACCTTCATTTTTTAATCATTTAATTAAATTGAAATCATTAATTTTTTTTTTTTTTTAATTCTTTTTTCCTTTTTCTGAGACAATACGAATAAATAGCATCATGGGTTTTCATTCTAGAACCAATCAAATAAGAGCCATGTCTTTAATTTGATATATTTATGCATTTTGATATAGAGGGCTTGAATTGAATGAGAAATAGGAATGGGAACATTTACTAATGGAAGACATGGATTTACTTTAACAAAAAAAAAAACTCAATGTGTATCTTTGAAATTCACTTTATACAATATAATAATTTGCTTTCAATGATATGATAAATAATATAAAAATATTGATATTTAGAGAAAATTTTTTCTGATTTCGAGATTAATTGAAAGTTTGATTTCGTATAAAATAGATATTCACGATTTGTTCTTTTACAGTTCAATTTTTCTATGTATTAATATAGAGAGATAAATCAAATGATAAACAATTCATGTATTATTATTCAATCACAATTTCTCATGGAATGAAGAATCAAAAAAAAAGAAATATTTTATGGCACAGTTAATATATATATTCCAGATTGTGAGTCGTTTCTTGATTTATTAAAATTGAAAAATAAGAAAACATAATATTAGCTATTGGTAATACAAGAAGAAGTTCAATAATGAACTCGTGTTTTTTGTATTGACATTCTTTTTCCTGCAAATAAAAAAATTTCATAGCTTAAATTCATATCAATAGCATTTGCTTAACAACATACTTGTTTATTTACCACTACTTTTACAACGATTAGGAGATCCAGAAATATAATAAACACGACCAAATCTATAAATAGGGATACGACCATTGGGAAACACAACTTCCAGAACAACATTGTCTGCTAATAACACACATATTGCCATCTGTAAGACAGGAAATTGTCAGGGATCTTTTAATCAATTCTTTGATTGTATTTTGATTTTCATTCTGAAAATCGACGTCTTCCAAAACTTGTTCTATTGACCAGACGTTACAAAATAATCCGAAGATAATCGATATAAGAAACAAATAAACAATTGATTTTCTATTGTGCATTTGACTGATATTGTTTTAAGAAGTAATATAATTGAATAAACAATAATATGTATCTGATTTTACAATATTACCTTTCCTTATGTATATCTATAGAAGGAGAGACAAAGATCTGAAGAAAATCTAATCTTCTTCTAAGCAATTCGAAGTAATTAACCACCAAGATCAAGCTCGATACGTCGGAACCGATCGGCTCCGTTGAATTCCGACGATTTCTTTACTACAGAATTCCGGTCCAGATTTCGTCGGACCAGTTCCGATCAGGTTCCGTCGATTTCCGACGAATTCCTGGTCGAAATTTTGCGGAACTTAACGGAATTTTTCCGGCGGAAACTGGACCAGAATCCTGTAGTCAAGAAATCGTCGGAGGTCAACGGAGCCGACCGAAAACCAACGGAATCTATAGGATCCGCTGCCGGAAAACAAAGGAAACAAACGGTTCCGGCGATCGGAACAGTGGACCTGGGTGTAGGTGAAAAAAAATTAAGTTTGTCTTGGAACTTTGACATTTTGATATATATCGAATTTTTATTGAAACATTATAGTTTACTATATACATTATGATATTTTCTTATCATATTGATCAAAAATTAACATAGAAAAATGACTACATATAATGTATGCAGATGATAATCATTCAGACAAATAAAAAAACACATCATATTAGAAAACTAGAAATAGTAATGTACAGAGTTTGTGTCATTGAGAAAGAAAAAAGATGTTATTTATTGATGTTTAATATGATGACTAAATGATGCGTAACTGTACTAAGGAAAACTAAAGTGAATTCAAATGAAATTTTTATGTGTACACATCACATTATTTATTTTCAATAAATGATGGCAAATTTTTTTGATGAATCAAGTTTTCTAATGATTATCTTATGAATGCATATAGGAGAACAAAGTAAAACAAAATACTTAAAATATGTTTGTTATAAGAAATTTGATATAGGTTAGTATTATTTGTACATAAAAAAAATATGATGATAGACATTTTCTAGTTTCAATCTAAACTCTAGAACTATAATAAAATTACTGTTTATTGTTTATTATTCGAAAATATTGTTAGTAAAATACTATTTACACTACATTATTTCTATTTATTATCTCGTTCAAATGAGTGTAATTAATGAAGTAACTTTAAAACTTTTTTGTTTTTTATTTCAAGCAATAATTTTTTAGAAGTTTCAAAGAAGGAATGTGCAAATGACAATACTAAAAGCAAATATACACAAAATTAGTTAGTGATTAAAATGTTAGCTTAATCGCTACGGGGCTAAAATTTGAAGCACGATGGATCTACTTTCATTGTATATGAGAGGATTCTGCAACATATGTTTCGATTCATCAATTTTAACATACTGTTAATATATGTCACCGATGAAAGATGTTAATTGTGATACATTACGAGGATGTAAATTCCTATCTCTGTATACTTCAACACTCCTTTTAGATCATGTTCCACAAAATCATTATCTTTTCCTCTTATTTGATTCAGAAGGTTCTAGAAAAAAAAAGAAATTTTTATTAATTAATCAACTGAGACATAAAATGGTCAAAGTATATGTTTAGTATTTACAAAATACTTCTAAAAAACTATTTTCATCCAATCAAATGATTTTGGGATGCTATTTTTCGCCAGATGAACTTGACAAAAAAAACTATAAGATAAACTTATGTCATTAAATTCGGTACAAGAGTAATTTCTTATCAAAATAAAAGAATTCCGAGCTCAAAAGATGTGATTTTGGCTTCAGTATGTCACATTATAATGAGTTCCGAAAATTACTGATTCGACTAGTTGAATTTTCGAAGGTGTTAAGAGGAAGAAAACCGATGCAAGTTTCAGAGATTTATTTTTTTCAAGGGCTATAAAATACATATATTCTTTATTAATTTTTTATTGTATTTATCATATCAGTGGAAATAGTAGAAACAAATGAGATTTTCGTCGAGAAATTTGGTTCATTTCTACTTATTGAACGTTATTACTCGATAATTGATAATAGTTATTATTATTTTGCACCACTATTTTGTTTATATGAAACACTTTCTTTTTAGTTTAACATTATTATTGTAATGAAGTAATAACAAAAGAATAAATACAATATAACAGAGATATGAAAGATACGTAAGATATTGATTAAATATTATTGTATAGACTATTTCATAAACATTGTTTGCATGAATAAACAATGTAGAAAAGTATGATTTAATTATTTGTAGTTTTCACAAACTAGAAACAATATTAGCATTGATAGACCAATATTCAAAGGATGATCTTCTGAGCTATCTTTATAGAAAACGAAAATGGCATATTTTTAGTTAGTTTTTTTTTCATAATTGCACGCACGATTAGTGTCTGTATGCATCGGATATTATGGCATATTAAGTTTTCTTTCAATTTCACAGATGTGTTCAACTTTTGATTAAGTTCTCTGGTTTGAGTTGTACGTGAACAATTGCATTATTATTCAAATATGAGACACATTTCTTAGAAATTTTCTTTTGATTTTCCCTTCGTACACATCTATTCAAAAATATTGCATATGCAATTAAGTACAGCATAAAATGCGATTTCGAATAATATAAAATGTTTATCTTAATGATGAAAAACGAATAATTTATTGTCAAAATGTAATAAGTGACATTGATTATGTCGCACATGGTATTTTTTTTCTTTTCAACGTAGTTGAAAAATTGAGTAAAGAATAATTATATAATTTCTTATACGAAGTTTTTTTGTATGGACAAAGAAATAAAAATTAGACTAGGCTGCCATTGGTTCTTTTTTTTTGTTCAAAGAGTCTGTGAAAAGAAAGTAATGAATGATGTTAACATCAATATAAGATAGGCATTTTCTAATTGAGTGAAAAGACAATCATATTGACAAGTTATATTTTTCTTTTACTAAATCGATAACGTGTCGTTTCATTTGATTCATTGAAGCGTGATACTCATTGCTTGTGTCTTATTGTCAAAATTAAAAAAAGAAAAGCATGGCAACTAGTGATAGTGAAATATGTGAAGGTCTATTAAACATGGATTTACGGGATCGATTGGATCTTCATGTTGGATCATATGTGAAATCTTCATTCAATTTACGTTATATTAGTTCAAAAACGTCTCCTATTGGACGAGCATTACGTCAAGCTATTGTTGATTTAGTCGATAATGTGGCAAATAAAATTAATGGATATACAGAAAATGATGCAATAGTTCTTGGCACAGAAAATCGTTTATATCATTCACGTCAATATACATTAAATATCAAAGAAAATAATATGAAATTTTCTGAATTACAAGATAATGATGATGAGAAAATAAATATTGAAGTAAGTTCATTAGCTCCAACTATTTTTTATCAATTACGTCAAGATATTGGTATATCAAATGAAAATTTTCGTCAATCATTTTCTGAAAATAATTTAAAAGATTTTACAAATCCAGGTGGAAGTGGTTCATTAATGTATAAAACATTTGATGATTTATTTATTTTAAAAACTATACGTGAACATGAAGCACGTTTATTAATTCAAATTTTAACTGGTTATCATTTGCAATTAAGACAACGTTCAACAATATTTAATCGTTATGTTGGGTTATATTCAATGGATATACAAACATCACTATCCAATATTACTATTTATGTTGCTATTATGACTAATGTATTCACACCATCATTAAAAATTAATGAAGTATTTGATTTAAAAGGTTCAACAATAAAACGAAAAAGAACTGGTTATTTATCTACAGAGAAATTCCATAAATTAAAAGATGTAGATTTTACGGAATTATATCCAGATGGTATACGTATACCAACAAATATTTATCATAAATTAAAGGCTATTGTTGCTAATGATGCGAAAGCTTTGAAAAATCTGAATGTAACAGATTTTTCATTAATACTTGGAATTAGACATTTAGATATGTCTGAATCACAAATGTTGGAACGTCAACAGATAACAGGAATTACAGCTCTTCTTCGTGCAACTAACAGTTTGATAGTAGACCAAAAAGAAAGTCCTGCTGTCGTTGCTTCACCATCAAAACATCAGAATGATATAATATCTACAGCAAATTCATATTTGAAACCATTAGAAATGATCAACGAAAAAATCAATATGAATTTATATTATAATAATGATTCCAATGCTTATGAAACTTTACCGATTCCGGGTATTATAAATAAAACTAATAAACGTGTTTACATATATTTAGCTTTAATTGATATGCTTCAAACATTTGATCATTTTAAACTTATTGATCAAGCATTTCGAAAACTTACTGATTATGATAGACATCTTGAATATTCTGTTATCGAACCCGATGAATACGAACCACGCTTTAATCAATTTTTATTTGAATATGTTTTTATTGATGCTGGTGATGATTTTCCATGGGCTATAACTGATGTTAGTAAAAGTGTGACGGATATTAATCATGGTACCATTGAAAATAAGAAAATTAAAAAACGAAAAAAGCATACTAATCAACATCTTGATTTAATTGAAAAGACACAGTCCAATCCTGTTCTTGAATTTCATTTCTAAACTTATTTCTCTATATTAAGTACAGATTAAATACTTGTTTTTAGAAACTTTCTGCTTTATAATCTCAACTAAGATGTATAATGAAAATTATACTAACAGTACAATGCTAAATATTTTTCTGATAAGTTTTTTTTTTTATTCAATAAGGTTTTCTAGGCATATGAAATATATATTTAGATAAATAAGTTTAATCATACTTTTTACTAATGTTAATATCAGAATTTAAATTTATACAAATAAATCAATAAAAAATATTCATATACGATAATACTAGACAAAAAGCATGGCATAGATAATAAATGATGAGATACATACACTCAGAAATGTGTTATATATGATAAAGTGAATGTCAGAGACGGAATCGAATCGAGTTTTACTGGCTCGAATTCGATTTGTTTTCAGTTTTTATTACAGAATGATATGCTGTCATCAATTGGTCCAGCGTACTAGTGACGATGCCAAAAGAGAACTGAGCTCCCCTTTCGAAGTTTTTTTTAAAGATTTACAGAGAATCAATAATCTTTCATGATAATATTGCAATAAACTGTTTTCTGAGTCACTGAGGTTTTTGTCCAGTTTTCTATTGTTTGTTCTCTGTAAAACGTGTACAAAAATGACTTGCTCTTCTTGTAGTTAAATCTCAATTTCTAGAAATGCATGTTGACAAATGTGGAACTATAGAATTGTTTTTCCTTTCTTCTAAAAAAATCCATTTAATGGTGGATATTAGTGTTTCCTTTATCTACATCCTCACCGGTCCACATCCATATCCACCCATACCCACACCGTTCTTTGTTCATGAACTGTGTCAAGAGAACAGTTCCTTTTCGAGAACTGTGTTGAATGAACAGTTCTTTTTCATGAATTGTGTCACGAGAACAGTTCTTTCAAGAACCGTAACAATGGAATACTGCTCTTTTAAGAACTGGATCTAGTAATTGGTTGACTTTTTTTTAGAATTGAGCACTTCTATCCTAACATTAAGTTTCCGTTTGCTTTATTCCAGTACATTTGTGCAGTTCACAGGCTTGACTCATAATGGCGCAATTATAAATCTGATGGAGAGTCAAAATGAGATTTCTGAGAACACCAATTCATTGAAAAAGAATTGCTATATAGATCAGTTCTTATCAATAGAACCGTTTGAGACAGATCACTTCCTACCAAGAAACTGTTTAGTCCAGATCAAGTTCTATCAAAGAGCTGCTGGCACAGATTAGTTCCTATTCAAAAGAACTGTTAGGACAGTTCTCAAGATCGGAACTAATATGAAACTGCCCTAGGTTTACTCATACTGCGTTACTTAAATCTCTTGTCTGCTTGATATTAAATTACAGTAGTATAAATTAAAATTGTGATATTCTACCCTAGTCGAAAATCTCTAAATGAATCTCTGGGAAGTCTCTGTCAAAATTCTCCGGGGAATCCTGACCGGGAAGCCCTATAGATTTACGAGGAAGTCAAAAAGTTTCTCAGGAACTTACGTGGGAGTTAATCAGGACCCCTGGGGATTTGCTAGGGAATTCCTGAGAATTTGCCAGAAATTTCCCAGGAATACACCACGAGACTTACGACGACTGTAAATAATCGCATACGACGTTTTTATCATAATATCCACCCCTAGTGAAATCTCATTATTAAACTACTTCAAACTTCCTGGGAAATCATGATAGAGACTTCACCGGAGACCAAGGGTGAGTGTAGGACTCTCCAGGAATTCGTTTAGGGATTCTCGACTAGAGTATTCTTGTCAGTATTTTTTCTTGTAAAAATTTACTGAGACTCTTCCAGCATTGGAACAAATTGTTCTAATTTTTGTTCAAGTCTACTTATATCTTTGTGTACATCAAAGTGAATAGACACTTTAACCTAGCTTAAAATGGAAACGTAGTCACTTAATTTTCGATAAAATTCATCGCGATTTTTAAATTCTTGTGTATTCTTATTGAGAAGTTCTAGATTAGTCAATTTATTTGTTAATTCTTCAATTTTTTGAAATATTGATCGTAATATCTCGGAATGAGATGTAAGTTCATTTAAAACTCTAATCATAGTATTCGATATATTCAATAGCACATTTCTAGTATTATGCATATCTTAATAAATTTTCATTGTTTTTCAATAAGGAACTCCGCTTACAATGAAATCTTTTGTATTGATCATCAAGAAGATTGATCCTATTCGGGTCCAATGAAAGCTCTCACTGTCAAACTAACAAATTTAAAATATTACGTGCCCATAGCATACCTAGAGGAAGTTACTTAAATTTCAAGGTATATGAAATTGAAGTATAAAAATCAATCAGAGAAGGCTTTCTCCACTATTGTAAGAACAAGACATAGTGTTGTTCGGGTCGATGAAGGAATTTCGTGAGACTCTCTGTTATATGGCCCGAGCAACACCATGTTTTTCCTTACAACAGCGGAGAAAACATTTTCTGATTGATTTTAATACCTGAATCTCGTATACTTTGAAATTTAAGTGACTTCATCTAGGTATGCTATGCGCAAGTAATATTTTAAATTTGTTAGCTTGGCAGTGAGAGCTTTCATTTGACCCGAATATGATCAGTCTTCTTGATGACTAGTATAAAGGATTCTATTGTGAGAGATAACTGCGAGAGTTTTCAAGAGATAATATCGATTTTTTTTGAAGCCATTTTTGTATTGTTCCTCATGTTCACTTCAATAATCTTTCATTTTTCTGATTAATGTGTTGTTTTTTTCATTAAAATCTTTTGTTTGTGTATTATTCTAAATCTGTTCATCGTTATGATCATCATTCAACTTTATAAACTCTATTAAGCAAATAAAACTTTTCTCTACTTTTGTAATACTTTCGTTTGCACTTATACATATATTAGACTTAAAAATCGATTCATAAAAACATAAATACGAATCTTCAACTATTCTCATTATGGGTCATCGTACTTCTGACTATCTTCGTTTAACTATGACGAATAACATACTCCAACTTAATTTTGTAATCATATCATTTTTGTGAAACTCACATGTTTTTGAAGAAAATAATGCGTGCAATTTTGAAGTCGAAGTCACGCGGCTCTCCCTTCTCTCCCCCGCCCACCTCATTACAAACCATAGGAACTCCAGCAAAAAGAAAAGAAACAAAAAAAACAGCATTTGTTAAGAATCGACTATCATTAGAAAAGAACTATCGTCTTTTAGAGAATTTAAATATTATGTATTTTGTCACTAGTCTAATAGAACTAGAGAAGATATGTGAGTTGCACATTTCAGCGCTAAAGAGACTGTGCTAACAAACTTTTCTAGATTAGTTAATGCTTCTGTAATAATATCATCTTCAAATTTTTGTTTTATTTTAAAAGAATTCCTTGCACTTGTTTCAAGACAAGTTCTTCACCCTTGTCGATAAAAGACCACAAACTTTGCGAAGTTTGATATTCTAGAAGAACATTGTTCATATTTTTAACATTTCCACTATTAAATGCATTTTATAATTTGTTTTCATTATCTTCAATAAGTTGAAAAAATAACACCTTTAACAGAATTAATGTGTGACATGTAATTTATGACGAACATTACACATTATTCTCAAGAAACTACTTCGGGTATTCATTAAAATACATAAAATTGAAATAGTTTTCGATTTAGATATTTTATTAGTTTATAAACAATTGAAGAAAAAGAAAGAAAAATCGAACAAACAAGAACGAAGAATAATGTTTTATAACGATGTTGGAATTATGTAGATTATTTGAGATCCGTCGCGTATGTATGGTATTTTCTAACAAGAAAATGTAGAAATCGTTGAATACGATACAGCGTTCATGATAATGATCTTAAATATGGAACGCATGGATGGTAGAATTACATGTCAAAAAAAGGTTGATGACAAATCGAATAGACTGCTTTGTCGACCTATACCGACAGTTTTCATACGAGATTCTTTCGGTGAATTTTTATGAAATGGTTTGGATGCAACATACTTGGTCTATTTACCACTGCAAAGAGTTCAACCAATAGGACGAGGAAAAGGTTGTAGAGTAGGACGAGGAAATGATGGAGGATGAGGAGGACGAGTAAAAGTTCCAATATTTCATTTCGTCCAAAGCAAAAATTGAATTCGAAAATTTGATAAAACATGAGATGGTAAATGAATTGAACAAAGGACGTTGAACAGCTGCTCGAGGAGCACGAACATCATCATCAATATTACGACGACGCTTGTTAACGATTACATTAGAGAGTTGATCACTTTTATATTGACTCTCTGTATCAAGAGTGTTCTCCTGCATATCTAACATTGTTTCTTCTGCCATGCATGCCGAACCGATTATTAACGCCACGAAAAGAATGAAAGAGACGAGTTTTACAATACTGACCATTTGTCGGTAGTAGTGGTCATCAATAGAAAAATAGATGCTGATTGGCAAGATGTTCTTGGTAATATGTGAATATGAGTAATTTTATACAAGGTCTCTGATCTTTATATAGTATTGAATAGCCGTGGAAGGAGCCATATGGGAAAAAATCTTCTTTGTATAGAAATCAGTGAAGTAGATTCGTAGAATGATTATTTTCTCAATATGAGTAAAATATTCGATTTCAACGAATGATAATTTACAATGATAATTACTCCAACGTCCTAACATGAGAATTATTTTTTGAATACAGCAATCTGGACAACATAATTGATTCTACAACCATTTAGATGTTCTTGCATCTAATAGTCGAAGTACAATAAAAAACATTAGTTGAATGTTGCAATGTCCTTGAGCCATTTTTATTTCTTCCTTTATCATTTTTAACCACCCATGAGAAAAGAAAAATCAATTACGACTGTCTATACTCCCATCTTGTTTATCGGTTGATTCAAGCATGACGAACACTATGTGCATAATTAAACGTGTCATTTTGTCATAATTTCAATAAGGAAGTCTCCAACAGAAAATATATAATCAAGATGTCTATCAAGCAATATAAAAAAAGAATATTAAATTAATAAAATTATTCATGCAACACATATCTGATGAAAAAGAGAAAAAAACAAGACTAACAAGAGAAATTCTCCAAGCTTCCAATATATTTTTAATTAAACTTAGACTGAGTAGATGTCTTCGTCAACTCACAAAAAACCTCCAAAGAATGGATTCAGACGGGATCTTTCTTTTAGAGTTACTGCCCAATTAATAAGTTTTCGATCTCTATAAATGGTGTTCTCATCCAGAAATTGAATCTTGAAATTTTGACCTAAAATTTTGCCTTGAAAAATAACTTATCGTCTTAAACAATCTGAAAGTTTCAACCAAAATGCCTATTTTTTTTCTCAAGAAAATGCTTTCGAATAAAGGTCAATTTTTCTGACATTTCAATAAAACATACGTGTAGGCATCAGTATCGGTATGAATGTAAGCTATTGACAGCCACACGCACACACATAGACACGAACAAATCCAAGCCTATACTCCTCCCATACGATCGTTTCCCACACTCACATCTCTGATATTTTTCTTTATTAGTCAAATATGAAAGAAGCACGAAATACAATGTTTTTTAGTTTTCTATCGAAATATGACATGAAATCTCAATTATTAACATGCCTTAGGCATGACCTCCGATGAACTTTCAATGAAAAAAAAAGATCATTAAATCAATAAATCAAAGGTGTGTTCCAGCATATCTTGTTTAATTTTGCATTTTGAAAAACGATGAAGCTGTACTAAGATAAAGTGAGTCAAATATTGAACTGGTAAAATCCTTACACAAATATATGAGGGAGGAAAATATAATTCGATAAAACTTGGGTGTGTTCACTGTAACAACAATGACGAGGAGAAGATAGATGGTCTATTTCGTTTGCAATGCAGTATATATTTTATCAATGTAAACATTGAAATAGTGGAGCAGTAGCATTACAGCTATCCTCAGTATACATGTTTACAACATGGCTCAATCACTTCAGTTGTGTTTACTTCTATAGAACTCGAACTTATATACGAGAGAAGGAAAAAAGAGTGAATAAGCAGCTATTATTGTTCATGAGATCAGAGTATTTACTTACCTAGTAGCCTAATACTCTTACATCATTGAACCAATGGAAGATAAAGTATACTACGAACCATTATTATTGGCACACTCTATACTCTTGTTTCTAAGCTTAATCATGAAATACATGACTTAGAATGTGGACAGTCTACTAGAAGGAGGACCTTTGTCGGGATCATGTATAATAATAGCTCATTTTCAATTACTACTGTACACATATCCAATGGTTTTTTTTTTCATTGATATGAAATGGATTACTAAATTTAGGAAAAGAAACCGATTTTAATCTAATTATGCTACCCATTTATCTGCTCTGATCTATACATCAACGAAACACGAATCCTCGTTCTAATTTCGTGGTTTTGTCATCAATAGGCGCTTGATGTTTTCAATGACGTCTTGAAACCTTACGGAGTAAATATCATGGATGTGGATGTGGGTTTGAGAGAAAAGGTTCAATCTAGCCACATCCTCATTCACACCCTGTTCAAATTTATTGATTCATTATACTTTACTAGATGATGTTACGACAAAATAAAATATCATTTCGTTTTATTCTATTATTATGATAACAAGTGCTCTACCTTGTCTCAACCAGGTACCTCATTCGAGTCTTATTGAATCTTTACTAAGAGCTAATGTTCTTTTGCTCGATAAAATCAAACAATTTCTTATTCATTTTTTCATTGTTAATATTAAATTTAAGGTATTATCAGTTGAAAAGTCACAGTAACTAATATATTTCTGGTATACATGAATATCTAAGAACATTTATAGATGTCCACAATTAGACTTTGATTCCTTGTTGAAAGAACTTCAACATAAAAAAAAACAATGTAAGATTTTTATCTGAGAAAGAAAAGTATCTTTTTTTTTAAACTCATTGGACTATCTATTTTAGAATTGCTCAAGATATTTTTCTTAATCACGTAGACGAACTCCGGCTTTTAATAATAAATTTGTGCAATTATCTTGTGACGCTTGTGAAGGATACAAAACTTCTTTGAATGTTTCTATCTATTTTTTTTACATATTCATGTATTTGAAGTTTTCTGTCAGATCGTTATGTAGCTGCGACTTGTGCAGATGCAGCAAGCAAGTTTGTTGATGCGTGAGTGTGGATGTGAGCTTCAGGCTGGGTCTGGGCATCGGTCTTACATTCATCCACGTCGGCACCTTCTTCATCGAATAAGGATGAAAGAACAATGTCGACAAGATTGTTCCTCGACATTTTGAAAAATTTATTTGTTAAAATCTAAAAAAGTTTAGGAAAAATATAAAATATAAGGAATCTTGAATACTAGAAAGGACAGAAAAAAAGCAGAAAAACCGTCGAAAAGCAGACTTTTTCTAGTAAAAGCAGAAGAGGAGACAACGCTGGAAGCCAAGCAACATCGAATATATGCCGGACTATTCGAACATTGTGATCCCTTCGTACCACGACAGCCACAATACTCTCCAAAATCTTCAAGACCTGTTATGCAATCAGGTGTACAGTAACCATAATGTGTTTCATTGTAACGACATTGCGGTCTTTCACCGAGATTGAGATTATCATCACAATCCATCGCACGAAGAAATTTCAAATATTGTTTCACTGCATCAGCCAATTGAGAAATATCTCCATCTAATTTGTACCTTTCAAAATAAACAACACATTCATGAAACTTGACATAAGAAGAGAAATAGATGATACATACCATAGCATCAAAAATCCATAAAACGTGCCGTCAGCGTATGGTGTCAAAGTTGTTTCTAAGACGACGAAAAAGAACAACTTATGTAGGAGCCTCTTTCAACAACAGCACCTATCTCCGTTTTGGTTAACACTTTCACTATAGAAAAATTGCTTCGTCTACAACATCAACTTTACATGTGTTAAATATCTTTTTTTCTGATCCTATCAGCTTATGTTTAGCATTAATACAAGTATCTAGGATGACGAAGAATCATTTCTTCGAATGTTTTTATCAAGGAATTGAAGAGCTGCAACTACAGAGTGTATCAAAAATTAGTGACGTAAAACTACGTGAATAATTCATAAAAGATTTTAGCTACTGATAGAAAAGATTCTTCAAACATCTGGTCATAGATGATCAAATAGAACAATTCAATGAAGGCATTTATAACGTTGCACAAGTGCATTGCATAAAAAACAACAAGTATACGGTGTTTGATAGGCTGTTTTTCATTGGTAGGAATAGTAATAAAGCAAGCTTCATATAAAATTTTCTACCGATATAGGTTTTCAATATGAATCAATATTTAATAGTTCCATGTCATTCTATACATTTTCATGTTCGAGTGTTTTATTCAGTTATCATACTTAACGACGTATGATACTTATGTGTGTGTTTCCCCAAAGTCAACAGAGCAACTTATAAGACTTAAAAAAGCGTTATTGTCTCTTGTGTGAAGATTCAAAAAAAAATTCTGTGATAGACTTAAATCTTATCATAAAGTCAATAAACAAAGGTGCATGCGCAGGTTCGCACTTTGCTCTATCTAACAAGCCCTAAATTACGAAATAGATAAGTACAATGAGAATTTACTTTTTCTGAGGGAGTGGGAGGCCTTAAGGGCTCTTGGTTTGCATGCTTTTTTTTTGCTGTTAATTATCATGCAATCTTGGCGAAAAAGTTAATCATTCGACTACTTGAAAAGAGTTTGAATTATCATTTTCGAAGTATATATTTACGTGAGCTGATAAACTTTTTGATTCACTGAGATTCTGTTCTTAACCTTGTGGGGCTCAAGAACCTATTTGAGAAGACAGCATAATACTGCATAATTCATTTGGATGTACATAGAAAAGTCATATTGTACCTAATCGACTGTTTATGCACTTCAATCCTATGCTGGATGCAAATATCGGCTTTCAAGAAGGAAAAATATTTATAGACAACCCATAATACGTTTTGTTTTGTTGTCTTTTGCTAATATAATTTTCTTACTAAGATAAAGAGATATCGAACTATTATGTAATCCATCTATTACAATATTTTCGAGATAAACAAAGTCGTGGACTAGGTTATTGTATCCATTCCATACTCGTCAGCAGTGATGTGAAAAATGAAGTGAGGCAAATTGAATCTCTCTGAAACACTGGAATGCTTACCATTCAACAAATTCGGATTCTTCCATTGTCGCGCAGCAATTTCCATTGCATTTTCAACTATGGCCACTGATTCTGGTTTGCTTACACTCTGATACTGTGGCATGAGCGTCTGCAATCGTTGATACATTTGTCGTCCTCGAAGACCGAAGAAACCCCTTCGACGAAATCGCGATCCATCACCCGGTCGATCATTACCATATTTATTATCATCTTCATTGAATTGTGCATCAGTACCAATCACTTCATCACTTGTAAAGTTATTTGTCATTGCAGCTGATATAGCTAAAAAGGCAGCTTTTGCATGACAGTTGTCGCAAATTTCTGCTTGATTGATTGCACGGTTCAAGACTCTGCGCAAGAATCCGGCACGAGGTGTACTGTATAAAGCATTAAATTCTCCTCCTTTAACACATACTGGTGAAGCTGCCGGTGCTTGTCCAGAGATACAACAAAGTTGTCGTTCACAAATATCACTGAACAATAATGTTCCTTGACATTTGTCTGCCAATGAGCAATAGCCAACGATAGATTGATCAAACGTCGCATGACATTCTTGTCCATTAGCAATAGACAAACATATAACAATCACAATAGTAACGAGATGTATCATGTTTGAAATCGTGAGAAAATATCTGTTGATACGAATATTTTTTATGAGATATATAGACATTGTTATCAACAATAGCAAGTTGTCGGCACACCACGTGTATTTGATAAAAATTTTACGATTAATATAAGTACTTTTTGTTTTTATTATATACATTGATAAGCAATGTTTGCAAGAGTCGACAGTCGAGCACTTATGTTCTCTTTTTGAATAGAATGAAATTATCGTTTGATTTATAATGAAGCCCAAAATGATGCAATGAACATGTTCTGACCTATTAGTTGATACTGCATTAGCGCATCTTCAAGGTTAATGATGATGAATGTGGGTGTGGGTGTAGATATGCGAGCTGTAGGTATGAGTGTGAGATGTGCATGCTGCTCTGGCTGTTTGTATCTGTGAACCTAGTATACTTCCGCACATTCCAGAATCACAGCCACACTCGTACTATACAATCATCTCCACACCCACATCCTGAAGATTGAACGTCGTCAACCATTTTAAACATTGTTCATATTTATTTGCTCATATATTTATTTTTGTTTCGATGATTAACAATGATTTCCTTCTAGTACTTACTACTGTTTTTCGTATTTTCCCTTTTTCTCACTTCATTCTTTTGTTTTATACTTTATTCGATTAATTGAGATTTTTCACGGCTTATTTTAGTAATGAAATGAAACACATATCAAACTATGCTTCTGTGTAACTTTTAGCACACAATACTCATATAGTTTTCTCTTCATGATTTTAATTTTTGACAATCGAGAAATGAATAATAACAATTAATCGTGCTATAAAGTTCAAATTTATTGTCTTTTATTCGTTATTTCTCATTATTTAATCTTATATGAGAATAGATATAACTGAAGATCATTTTTTGTTTTTGTTTACACTGTTTACTTAAAATAAAAAGAACAATAACAATAATAAACATTTTGCAATACCATAGAATAATATCAGTTCTGTGAGCGATATAGATCAGAAAATGAGCATCTCGATGAATCCATGTGTATCCATTTTCTTTTCCAGTAAACATAGGTCGAAACACAGTTAAATCCAATAGACGCACAACTGCCTGCTCCGATGGTGTGAATAGTCGTTCTTGAATAGAGATATATAAAGGACCAGCACTAAGTAGTATAGTCCAAAAATGGAAAATATAATTGTGATTGAAGAGATGTAGTCGAGAAATAAATTGTCTATATAAAGGATGACCAGCACTACTGATCAAAAAATCATTTTCAACTCCGAAGGTTGGATGTTGAGGGAAAGCAGCCAAATAAGTTGCATTTGGTTCAAGTGATTCTAGAGTAACTAGTAAGTCACGAAAAGGACGATTGCAACTATTATCCATGTCAATATAGATGCCACCAAAGTGGAATAGAAGAACATACCGAAATGCGTCGGCACGCTGTATATCATATGGATAGGTTATATATGTCTTTTGATAAAATTGAGGCTCATGTTTTTTGACAAAAGCATTCATTTCAGCGTCAGACCATCGACGATATTTAAACTCACCGATATTTTTTTCCATAACCGACTGAACTGTTGCATTCCAAATAGAAGGAACATCATGTGTACGATATATCTGATGAATCACTCGAGGAATACGACGTCGAACGGATGTAGCATTTGCATATCGAATAACATCATTTTCATATATCATTCGTGGTGGTGTATGATATTCCAATGCGTTATATATCATATATTGGATTAACCAGATAATGAAGATCGTCAATAGAATTATACAAACTACGAGTTTCCATTTTAGCATAATTATTTTCGTAAAACGAATACTGTTTAAACAGGGTCGATATCTACAAAATACCCTGCGTAGTACTGGTAGAATAAATAATACCTCACTACTCTTCAATCAAAACAGATTTCTAAAAAAATGATGAATGTCAAACAACGACTAGAAACTAATTACAAACGATTCCAAGTAAAACTATGTTAAAAATTCTAGCGTGAAAAGCTAATGGATTAGAATAATACGATCTAGATTTGCAAAAAAAAATTCCCTGTCTTCGACTACAACATATAAGACACATTCATTGGTTTCTCAAGGACCTGTTGGAATCTAACATAATGTACGATGCAAAAGTAACGAGACAAATCATTCCTTGTTTTTTCTTCGTGAAAATTTATTAGAATGTCTGGATTCAGCATTACGTGTACACAAGTACCCGCAGAAGAATTATTCAAATCAACAACAACTAGTTATTCAACCTTTGAATTCTACACCTAAGCGTAGACATTCACTAGATGAAAGTTGAGATTCGAGAAACCATGGAAGCGGTCGCCGTAAATATCCTAGAAGAGGAATTAATAATAATGCTCAAAAGAATTCACCTAATGTACAACAAGAAATCAATTTACAGCCTCAACAACCATCGTCTCCAATGTCGTCAGAGAAACGACAACAACAAGCGCTCAATCAAGATGCTAACAATTGTAAGCGCATTTCTTTTAATCAGCTAAAGTGCGCAGTATCTTCTAATCTGTCATATTTTCTTATTGAATTTCATTTGGACACTAATCGCCATAGTATTCCATCAGCTCTTCATGCCAGTGATCTTATTTTCTCGTGTGAATATTAAAGAAGATTGTGCTGCTTGTGTTGGCACAGACAAATTGCCAACAAAAATCAATGGAATCGATATTGCCGTCGTAAAACCAAAGTATATACCTGATTCATGTTCACTTTTCGTTCGATATGTTCCAAGAGAACTAGACGAAAAATGCGTTATAAATGAAATACACCGAAGAATTGCTTCTGCAGATCGAATCAAACGCATTTATTATTACTATCAAAAGAAAAATTGATGATTATTGATTCAATATAAAAGATTACACTGAATACAATGCTGTATTACAACTAAGTCGAATTACAATAGGTCATTCGTTGTCATCGATTACTAAATTTTATCCTGATAACCGCTTAACTTACTGCACGAAATATTGGTGTATAGGTCATTTAAAAAATAAATGTAATTCAGCAAGCCAATGTCAATGCGTCACATGTGTGTAAAAATGAACCGAAATGTACTCAATGTGATAGAAATCATCATTCATTGGATAGTCAGTATCAAGTTATACAAAAATATAAATATCGACTAAAAGAACGTGAGATACGAAAAAGATTTATTAAATCGATTCTCACTGCAAGATAAAGCTCCTTCAGTCGAGTTACTTCATCAAGACGTTTTACGATTATTAGAGGACGATGTTCTGTCTAATAAAAAATCTAATATTATACAATCACGTACAACATTATCGATAGTAACAAACGACTAGAAAATAAAGTGAATTTACTATCATCAAGCTTGAAGACCGTTATTCTCGGTACTCAGTTACATCAAGCAGTCTTAGCCTCTATCATCAAGATTATGAAAGATTTTATTCAATAGTTTATATCTACATCAATAGCGTTCGATCGATTTGAAACTTCTTTTCTGAGAATCATTTGTAAAGTCCTAGACATGAACCTATGCACTGGCTGAGAATTTGGAATTTTTAAACAAAAGATCAGCTATTAGGATTATCTCGGTTAGATGAATGATACATAAATAGAACTTTGAATGCAATCTTACAACAGTGGGAAAATATTGAAATAGGTTCTTCCCAAAACCAAAAACAATATGTAAAGACTCTATGCTATAATTTCGAAGATTGGGGTACACATGCACTTGAAACTATTGATTTAGTACATAAAATTCAAGCCTATATTTGTATTTTTACAAAAGTAGAAGAGTTATGAAATGCATGTCGTTTAGCTTATTTTAACACATTATATCAAAAGGGTATCAACAAGAACGAAAGTGTGTATAGCTCTGTAGGAAAGCATTTGAAAACTTAATAGCATGATTTAGATGATATTCTTCCTTATGTAGTAGAAGGTACCATACTATCAGGTGACTATTGCAACAGTAAAGGAATGGAATAGTTCAATAAAAGAAAGGAGAGGTGAATGCATGAAAGAATGGATTGAAGAGAACAATCTCAATCACATACCTACAATGTTCCATACGTCAAAGCGCACCCTATGTAATATAGAAGAAGAACAAAAGAAAAATAGTATAGATGAGTGAGACAGATGATATATTCGTTTCATCGCGACTATCAAAAATAGAGTGACTTATTCGAAAGAAAGAGATAAATATACACCATCACTACCGACTCGTATCATCGAAAAGTTAAAAGAAATACAAAAAGTGAGAAATAGATATTATCATATAAGAAACAAGAGAGTTTTTAATGAGAAAACGAGGATGTTAGTACGTACGCTGACGAGAGAAACAAAAACTGATATGCTAAATATAAAAAGTGCTCAATGGTACAATTTTTTATCTCCCATTTACAAATAGTGTGCCCTATCTTTTTATAAACTATTCAACGGCAGTAAAATACTCTCAACGCATAAAAAAATCATAATCGAATTATATGAGTACTACAGGGAAAAGTTCAAAGTACCTTCATTGGAATGCTCAAACGAGTATGATATTCAGATAAATAGGAAATGTAAACAGCTGTTAAATAAATTAATGATGTCGAAAGATAATATAGAAAAAACTAATGTTGCTGAGATGACGCGAATAATTAAAACATTGAAGCCTTAGAAATCAACAGAACTTGACTTGATGTCAAACTTTATAATCAAAATACTTCATCCGAGCTAAGTTGAGCGCTTAGCTAACTGCTTTAATACATGGCTAGATGAATGCTGTTCTTGTTAGCTACACACTCAAAGATGTTCGAAATAGTGCTCTTTCAAAAGAATTAAAACCTGAACTGAAACTAATCATTAAATACCTTTAGAACAATCGGATATCCGCCCAAATTGTTTTCTACCTACTCAAGTACTTTCGATTCATCAAGAAGCTAAAAATAAAATGGCAGTCAATGTTCTGACATTGGCTCTGTATGTCTATTATCGAAAGACTTAGGATCATGTGTGACATGCCAACCTCTTTTGTAAACAGAAGAGAATGGATATGCCTCTCAACTTACTAAAAATAACTGAAAGCTGGTTAAAATGTAGAAAAGCTTACGTAAAATTTGGTGAGATAACTTCGAATGTATTTAATATATAAATCTAGGACTTGCATAGAGCAGTAGCTTTAGTCCGTATGTATTCATTGTTTTTTGCTCAAATTTGGTAAATTATCTGAGAGCTCAATCAAGCTATCTATTTGCAGATGATCTTTGTGTATTGATTAGACCCCCATAATGAAGAACTTAGCTCAGATGATAGAATACTTTGAAAAAAAGGGTAAACGAGTTTGTATTTAAGTTTTTACATACTGAAGAAAGTGAAAACAATCGATAAACGCTTCAAAAACAATAGTACAATTATTTCATACATAAGTAAAAAGGCAAATAGTAAACGTAACAGTGGATGCGAAAGATATCGAAATAGTCAAGAAATTCAAATACCTAGGGTTTACTTGGACGAATAGACTATCGCTAAAACAGACAGTCGAAAGGATCATAGGAAATATTCAGAAATCGCTAGGAAAACTGAAGTGGTTAAAGCCCGGATGTAATATGTCATGTAAGGTCCTTTGTCAATGTGTCTTTGCTTATACTTTGCCTCATTTGGTGTGACTGTTCTCGCTGTACTCTCTTCTCCCAGAATCTCAACAGCATATACTACAACAGAAATTCCAAGTGTGACTTTCGCTGGTGTACCGCTGTCCCTTCGTTTCTGCACACAATTTGTTCATAGGTTTCTCACTATTCTACGATGAGATCTTCGTTTGGGATAATTTTCGTAAGAGAAAAAAACGATCACCTTCTTTTGAAGTGGTTGTCTTTTATTGATGAGAATTGATATTACAGAAATAAACAAAAAATAATGTAATGCATTATTCAATGTTCTTTGTTTGTTTCTGTCTTTCTTTTTCAATTCTGTCTTTCTTTTACTTTATTTCATTCCTCTCTTTCATTTCTTTTTGTTACTCTTTCTTTTTTCTGGTGACTCGCTCTACTTGCGTATCCATGCAGCTGCTTCTCATCATTTCTTTCGCTTTACTCTCTCCATTTACTTTGTTGATTCTTTGTTTACTTTCTTAACGTCTCTACGAGCATCCATCGGTACTCAACATATTATATTTGTGGCATATGGTATAACACTTTGCTTTAATGATCTAGCTTTTTTCTTAAACATCTTTATTTATTTCTTTTATAATATAATCACTTCTGAGTGTTACATCTACAAGTATATTTTAAAAAAGGAAAAACTAATGGGACTAAGGTCGGACCCTATTTCTCTTCAATAGAAACATACTGAACCGAAAGTGTTTTACTAAAAGATATTGCTTTTTCTTCCCTTTCGAATCATATATAATTTATTTTTGTCACACATGCATAAACGAAACAACACAACAGAAAAGAAAAGCACTCTTTAAAAACGTCCGCACTTTTTATGAGATTCAGAAAGAACAGCACAACATGTTGTTTCTCTTGAGCTCTTTGACAAACACATTTTTAAATGAATATGTTTTATATCAGTTGATCGGAATTTTTCTCCTCTTTAGAACAGTATATGATTTATACTCTTTGTATGCTCATCAATGAAATGAGACAAAAAAAGAGAAATGATCATAGACCGTTCGAAAAAGAAGAACATTTTCGATCAACTGTTAAAAAATATTCTTTTGACAAGCTATTTATCGAAAATATACATGGATCGACATTACTCTA